TATGATTCTTACCCAATAGACGTCCCTATAGAGGGGTAGACAGGTTTGCCAGTTCACTCATCCCAGCAGTTTTGGTGGAGTCTTCCTCAATTTTCCCCTTATTCTCAACTTACTTTTATACAATTTCTTTATGTTTAGGTAGAGCTTGAGTGACTTGAGTCATAAATCCTTTTATTTCTTACTGCTGTAAAATTCTCTCACTTTGCCTCTCATACCTAATGGGAGGTGGTTATATCTCAGCATTCAAGGAGTGGGATTTCAACAGCTGTTGCTCAGCAGCAGAACATCTGCATCTATCTCCCTTGGTTGACAGGTGCCATACAGTCTGATGAACTGCAAAGTACCACTGTGCTCCCATCCCTGCAGGGATTTCTATGGAGGGAGAGCAGCATCTCCATTCTACTCCCTGCTCTGTTCCATCCCCTGTAGCAGGTGCTTATTGTTGTATCAGGAACTTTCATAGGGCGTGTAAGCCATGTTCCATCCATTGAGCAGCAGTTGCATTTTATCTTGTAATTCTTAGTCTCCTCTCGTTTTTTAACCCCAGCCATTTTCCCACACTCTCCATGCTACTCAAACCTCTGTGCACGCAATGTTGAAGATCTTTTCCCTTTCAGATGCTGCTGTCAGTGATCCTGGCTGCGCTGGGATTCGCAGGAGGAGCGTATTGTGTGGTCATCTCCTCACTGGGGCTGATTGGGGGTCCTCTGTGTGACACAGGTGATGGAGAATACCTCTACCCTTTCAGGAATGACACTCTTCGGTGAGTACGGCTTACAGGCTCCTCCAGCTTTGCTTCCCCTGATCTCTCCCACACCTTTTTATAGCAAACTTGATTTTTTCCAAAATTAATTGATGGTCCACCCTGTGTATGACTAAACTCACACTTCTCTGAATAGCATGTTCTAGCTGGTCACCTCTTTGACCAAGGAATCATCCTTTGGCAAATTACCTGAGTTTCTTCTGTTGTGCTTGTCATGGGACCCTTGTGCAATTTGCACCATGCTTTCAAAATGCTGGTGAGCTGTGACTCTCATAGGAGTCAAAGGGAAATGTTTGATTACTGTGTCACGTTAACCTGTTAAAACACCAAGAACTGACCCTGCTCTACTTACTTCTGAAAAGCAAAGCAAAAATCTTCTCTGAATCTTTAAAGTTAACCTTGGCAATCATGCTCTTGAAGCCAGGGCTAGAGATAGGCTGAAATGCCATGGAGACACATCATAAAACTATTATAGACTTTCTCTTTGGTTCTTAACACGAAATAACTAATCAATAACTAATACAATTTAGCCAGAGAACAAAGAGGAGCTTCTTGTGTATGCAACAAAGTACAGATGTGGTTCACTTCCCTAGTTATCAATTGCATCTCTGCAAAGGGAATTCAGAAGAGAATCACCAGCTTTTACCAATAAGTAGAATCTGAGGCTCACTTTGTGCAAGCAAGCTCAGAAAACGCAATGCCAGAAAACACAGAAAGCATTCTGAAGTTTTTATTTTCTAATACCTTGCCAATTATTTTTCTCTAACACAGAGACAATTACTTGTTCAACCAGACAACATGGAGTATTTGCAAAGAACCTGAAAACATCATCCTTTGGAATATTGTCCTTTTCTCTATTCTCCTGGCCATTGGTGTGATTGAAGCTATTCTTTGTTTTATTCAAGTCATCAATGGACTTACTGGTTTCATATGTGGCACATGTATGAGGAGAAGAAAGGTTGGTATGCAGTAAAAGATATCAGAGTGCTTTACGTTCCTACTAATTTTATTTTTCAGGCTCTGTAATGGTACATGAGCTAAGAGATGTGCACAGCCCCTGAACAAGTTCCTCTGGGCAGTTGAGGCAGTACAGATTTTATTTGCACACACCCTTTCTCTCTCTCTATCACATTGCAGTCAGGGATAACATGGTCCTCAGATATTTCTGAACAGCAGAGCAGTATGACACATTGACATACTCACTTGCATGGTTGTGCTCCTATTCAAGAAGCCTTTTTGAAAAGTGTAATGACCCTCTCCAGCATCTGTGAGAAACAAAAAGTAGACATGTTTTAAATTGGTCAACAGCAGTAAAATTTTTATTTTACGAAATGGAAGAAAACCTCTTTCAAGTTTCATTTATCACTACTGCTTCCTTTTAATTGTTTCTTTTTATTGTATAAGATATTTGCAGTAAGCCTGATATCCCCGTGGAATATTAATTAATCATCTTTCATTCATTGCCTTTCAGACAAATATTTCTGGGATGTGAACGACCTACAGGAAACGCCAGGACAAGCACCGAGCTGCCGATTCACATACAATAAGGATAGTACACTGTACTGTATTTATGGGCAGACAACAAAGAAAAACCAAAATGTTCAGGAGTTTTCGGGGGTAAAACGAATTTTTTATAAAAGAGGTCAGGGTGGAAAAGGGCTAGATCATTTAGATCTGAGACTCCACATTTTCATCTCTCTAAATATACCTGCTAAACCGGTAGCGGCAAAAACATTAATCTACCTGGTCCTGACTTCTGCACTTGTGTATAAAGCACAGCAATCTTCAGATAAAAGATCAACACTTGACCTCTTGTGCATGTGGGAAATGGAACTGTTGTTAATGTATATATTTATCAACTGCATAAAGCAGGCACTCTCTGGTTGATGTAAATAACCTCCTGTCCTTCCCAAATCCCAGTGTGGTCTCACCTGTTCCTTCCTATTAACTTGCTAACTGTGCACTCACAGATCTGAATTAGGATGAGCAGAGAATATATCAAGCAGTGTTTGAGACACTGCAGAGGCAACTGAAGAACACAGCTTTCAGCTTCCTTCAGCCACCCTGGAGCCAAATCCCCCTGTGCCATTCGGTAGCTTGCTGTCATGTTTGACCAAGTCCAGTGCACTTCTAAATCAGTTCTTCAGGAGCATCTGAGAGATGCAGGAGCCTTTTAGAGGCATTTGGGCCAATATAGACAGCAGGGTTTGGAGCAAGAGTTTGAAACATCTGGTTTAACACAAGGGTGAAAACAATTTTGCCCTCATGAGACTACATAGGAATTTCGCTAACTTCCACATAGGTCTGTAAGGCTGTTCTAGAATAGATCATATGGCCAAACCAATTAACTAGCTAAAGATAGCAAAAGGTAAAGGTAGCAATTATGTGCAGTTTAGTAAAAAATAAAAGATATAATCTGATGGCAACCAACTGCATCAGTTTTAGTGTTATAGCAACAGTAATCCCAATCAGGAACTGCGTAATAATCACTCAAGCCCTTATGATTATGGGGAATAATCACACAAGCCCTTGAACTTGAGCTAAAGTCCATGACTGGGAAATTTCAGAAAACCTATCATTTCAGTGACTTCCTTAAAGGTTAATTCTTGGACATGAACCATCTTCCCTCAGTCAGCTTGTAAAATAATCTTTACCCGTGCTGAACATATGTACACAGCTATGAAAATCTGAATATATTTAAAGTACTTGGAGCCTATTTTTCAAAGAGAGGCATTTGTGTTTTGTCAGTCACAGTTGTTCATATTTCTGCACTGTGGCATGGGAGCAAGCTATTTGAACATAGTGATTGCAGACACACTGTGCTGTCCTCCAACGTAGTACACAAAATGCTTTATATTAATGTCTCCTTTATACAAAAACGGGGAAGAAGGTGACTAGATGAGGAGCATATGTACTTTGGAGCACAGTCTTACCTCTAGAATCAGGAAATTTGACCCAAAAAACTTAAAAGCACCTTCTATAAAAAATAAAGCACAAGATTTGTCAAAGTTCGCAATCATCACTAGGTGCATCCAACCCTGCTAGGTGGCTTAAAAAGCTTATGTTGTCAGCAGTGAAGGCTGGACAGTGCTACCACATAAAGGAGACATAAACCCAGGAAAAGAGTCAAGGAGGCAGCTAGAAATATTCACATTATAGTTAGGTGGAGAGAGACTCCTTCACCAGAGGAGGGGCTCTTTGAACCCTTCACAGTCCCTGCCCTCATCCCTTAGCTTTGACTCCCTGACTCTCACCTCTCCGACAAAACCAACTTGGGCTGTGCCAGCACCAGGAGAGGGAGAGATGCCCACTGGCACACTTACAGCACAGAAAACTAAGTGCACTGTACTGCTGTCATCTGCTTGTTCCAAGCTGTCCCACCCTGGGGATATTTAGTGTCATGTCTGTGTGTTCCTGGGGCCACCCTCTGTCCTGCCAACTGCGTGATCACTGGCCTCACTAATATATGTAAATATTAAATATTGTTCTTCTGAAGTTATTTTCTGGCTTGATTTGTGCGACATAGAGGACTCATGACTTTGAAGTACCTCCAGTAGGAAGAGAAACAGAATAACACAGAAAGCAGAGTTGAATTATCTAACCGAGAAGAAATCTTTTCTAGGGTAGGCATCAAGATATATAGTCCATGGGAAGAGGCACCCTTCCCCCAGCCCACACTGAAAGAGATGCCTAAGGCAGGTGAGAGGCATCAGGCATCGTCTCTCTGGGCAAGGTTCCACTGTCCACCATGGACAGGAGTTTCTGCTGCCACCGAAGTGCAGCAAAGCATTCTGCTCAACCTCTAGATGTCACTCCAGGTGGCAAGGGTCTCTCCTATGTCCTCTGTCATACCTGACAGCCCCTCACAGATGTCTAGAGACCTAAGTACGTCAGGTGGAGCTAGCAGCACAAAGGTGTGGGTGACCAAAGCAAACATCTGTCTCTATGCTAAAAATTCATTTAATCAAAATACCTAAGGCGGCTAATATTAGATTAAATAACTTCAGCTCCCCAAATCACCCTTTATGTGAGTCAAAGCCTGACCTCTCAGAAGTGTCATCAGAGCCTTCTCCAGGAGTCGGCCAGCACATCGCAACAGAGGCAGGTCCTCATGATGATCGCTGCAGGGAGACCTGCAAACCCAAGCTCTTCTGGTGGGCAAGGTTTCAAAAGAAAATGTCTACATAATACTAAACATAATAAAAACTTTGATTTTAAAAGAGAGTTGGTTTGACTAAAGATAAGATGTCACACTTTATAATTGGGATCACTATTACATTTTTCCAAAATGAAAAGAGTTATTTCAGGGAAATCTACTTTAGAAAAAGAAAAAACAATTTTGTCCCTGAAATGTTTTATGTATTGTACACATGAAGAATGTAATAAAACTAAGGAACTCATAACACTCTTCTATATCTCTTTTCTCTCTGTTGATCTTTCTACCTATTAATCTGTCTTCTCTCTATCTATGATCATTAATTAATGGTCAAAAACTTACACAGACATAATGGAAAAAGTGTTTAATTTTGATATTTATTATTTACCATGCAGTTGCAACACCCAGGTTCTTATAGAAGGATTAAAAATACGGGTTTTTTCTCATCAAATTACCCCATCTTCTGCATTTGAAACTCATGCAGGAGATCAGCCGCTGGCAAATCTGTGTTGGTTGGAAAAGTATTGCTGGGATTGACTTGGGATATGAACTAAACTTTAGACCAAGGACACCATTTGAAAATTCGTAAATGTTTGAAAACCAGCAGCTCAGTGTTTCATCTGTCAGGATCAAGGACGCAATCCAAACACCTGTGTTGGAAACCACAGACTAGTTCATACCATCTCATTTCAAGAGGAACTGTCAGTTCATTTTGATGCAAATGGCTCAGACGCCTCAGGCCTCAGAGCTTGGTTTTTGTTGGCACTCAGAGCAAAGCAAACCAGTGAGAGGTTGGTCCCCACAGATCTCTGAGTGCCACAGCCTCTGCTCTCCTGTCCCAGTCCTGTGCCTCTCCTCTCAGGCAACCTCTTCTGTGTAAACAAACTTTAAAAAAATCCCAAAGGAAATTGAGAAAAAACTCAAACCTTTCCAGACTCTCAGACTACTTTATTTTATCTCTTACAGAGTTCCAGCTTGCCCCTTTCCAGAGGAGTGACAGGGGACAGCCACCCTTCAGAAATGCCATTCCTGCAGAACCCCTCTTAGCACCTCTTTCATCCTGAGCCCAAGGGCCACAGAGAGCCATCTAAAGCCCATCAGCCATACTGTAGCACATTTAACCCATAAAGGTGGGGCAAAGGCTTTGTTTTAGGCACAGAGGCCACTTCTTTGACCGTCTTTACTTCTTCTTGTCAATTAGATTCAAAGCCAAGTAGATGCAAGTGCTCACTACGGTGCAGGCCATTTCCACCACAGACGGAAAACTTAACTGGTACACAGCACTCCTCACTTTCTTTCAGGCACTCCTCTATTTTTACCAACAACCCATGCCACAGTTTGTTCTATCAAGGTCAACTGATGAGGAATAAGAGTAAGAGCTCATCTGAGTATTATAGAATCACAGTATGGTTTGAGTTGGAAGGGATCTTAAAGATCATCTAGTTCCAATGCCCCTACCATGGGCAGGGACATCTCCTACTAGACCAGGTTGCTCAACGCCCCATTCAACCTGGCCTTGAGCATTTCCAGGGATGGGGCATCCACAACTTCTCTGGGCAACCTGTTCCAGTGCCTCACAATCTCATAGCAAAGAATTTGTAACATCTAATCTAAACCAACTTCTTTGAGTTTAAAGCCCTTATGCCTTGTCCTATCACTACAGACCCTTGTAAAAAGTCCCTTGTCATCTTTCCTGTACCCCCTTCAGGTACTGACAGGAACATGTATCCCACAAGTAAGTTCTCAGAACTATCGGAGATACATCAGAATATCCCAGCTGCCAGCATGCATCTCCCACAGGAACTGCGAAACATCAGTTTTCCCATGTGGACATCTCAGTGGCTTTAGAGCATCTCAGGTGACACATGCTCATCTCTGTGTGAGAATTCAAATTAAGCTCTGAAACATCGAATGTTTACAGTGACACTGCTCTTAAAAGTAGCCCTGAGTTCAGCAGTCTGAGACCTGCCCTCACCCTGTCCTGCCTCAAAAGACCTAAAACAGGTCAGTCATTCACCCTCTAAAATCGCATATTTCTCCCCATGGGCTACACAGGGAGCTTGAAGTGAGTGGTGCAGCAGCTGGCATCCTAAGCTGCAGCTCCCCCTTATGAGCAGGAAGGTGAAGCCCACCTCAAAAAACTCTTAATTAATGAGATTTCTTCATTTTTTTCCTTAAAATAGATGCATTATCTGAGAGTCATTTAATGGCAAAAGAGTACAATAACAGTCTTCTTGGTATAAGTTTGTGCTTTTTTAATCCTTTCATGCACTATGTATCATCAAAACCACTCCAGATTCAGATGAACTACCTCGCACATCCTTTTTCTCTAAGTGTCCATCCCATCATTCAATGCTTTTACTTATGTTTTGTCCTACTACATTCGCCCTCCACCCTCTGGTCTTTAAATGAAGCTTCCCTGCCTGCCACTATTTCTTTATATTTTTTTTCCCCCAAGAGATGAAAAAAAGCAAACAGTCTTTGCAGATGTCAAAGAACAAATTCAAATCTTGCTTTGGACATGTTGAATTTAGTTGACTCCCACATGAAGGGTGCAATGTCAGATAAGTCCTCCCAGGAGTAGCTGACTGCAGAGCAGGCTGAGACCTGGCTGAGTGCACCTTCAGCCACGTGCACCTTCAGCCCTGTCCTTTGCCTGCCTAGGAAATATGCTGTAAAACATTTGCTCATAGAAGAAAAGCTTAGCATGTGTCTGTGTGTAAACAATGTTTTAAAAGTTTTTGAAAAATTCATTTTGATAAAGGAAGGCAAACCAGACAAATCAGTGGTTCCCTCGCCACTGACAGATGCAGTTTCTAGGACCTCGTACCGGGTTCATTTAGGGTGGAAGGGAGTGTTTCTAATTACCATCCAGAAAAATGTACCTTTAAAATGCTTAGTGTCCCATTTTGTACTTAGATAATTAGGTCAACGTTAAAAACCATTACTCAGTTAAAATAGCATTTGATTAAAAATATAAAGGAATATTTCTCCTAAGGCAGGATAAATAAGGTTGTCAGGTTTTTTCATGTCTTTTAATTTTCACTTCTTTGTAAACACTTCCAATCGGATCGCTGCATAATCTTACCAAAACTCCTATTTACCCTTGTACAGAAAGGTGTCACAGACACCATGAGGTTCCTGCACTTTTCCTCACTTCTCACAGCCATCATCGATGTGCCTGTGTGTTCCCGCCACGTCCTCCTACTCATGAGACATGCTCAGCCTGTGCCACTGTCATTTCTATGCACAGCTACACCTGGATGTCTGCAGGAGATGGCACATCACAGAAAATCTTTCTATGTTTTGTCCTTTCACTCAG